ACCTCCTGTTGTAATTTGATCCCAATGTTGGAGATGTGGCTTAATGGGAGGTATATGGGTCACAAGTCTGGATTATTCAATAACTGATTAATGCCCTAGTAGGGGTGAGTGAATTCTCACTCTATTAGTTCATGCAAAAGTTGGTAATTTAAAAGAACCTGGCCCCTCTCTCTCTCTCTCTCTCTCTCTCTCTCTCTCTCTCTCTCTCTCTCTCTCTTTCTCTCTCTCTTTCTCTCTCCACCATGTGATCTCTCACACACTGGCTCCCCTTGCACCATGAGTGAAGGAAGTATGAGCAGGTACCAGCCCCATGCTTCTTGTACAGCCTGCAGAACCATGAAACAAATAAATCTCTTTTTCTTTATAAATTACTCAGCCTCAGGTATTCCTTTAACAACATAAAATAGAACAAGACATAGATCATCAGTTGGATTGCAGTCACATGTGACAAATCATTGAGCAATACACTAATAAAATATACAATTTGCTGAATGTAATTACTATATTTCTATTAAATTTTATTTACAATACAACAAATCATTATTTGTTTTGGATAATATATCCAGATATGTCCTGGGGGTTAAAGATGAAGCACAAAGGAAAAAAGGTATAGTCTTTATACTCAAGAGCGACAAAAATCTCAATAAAAAATAAAAAGCCTGATATATCACTTGGAACAAGAGTAAATCTCACTCTGTGTGTTAGTTTTGCTATGTCAGTTCGGAACCAGACATGGTAGAGGAGTAAAGAACAAACAAAAACAGAGGTTTTTGTTTTTATTTTGCCCAGATAATGGGTGAAAACAACGCAACCTTTTTATTTCTCAGTTTCTGTAAGTCAGAAGTCTGAGTACAACTTCACTGAGTCCTCTACAAAGGGTCAAGTCTCATTTGACTCTTTATATGGGAAAGATAGTCCTCCAAGTTCACATGATTGTTGCAAGATTCTATTAGTTCCTTGTGGTCTGTTGAGTTGATGGATTCAGTTTCTTGCTACCTGTTAGCTTGGAAAAGTCATGCTCAATTCCAGATTGGTTGTTGGATGGAGACTACCCTCAGTTCTTTGCCACAGGGACCTGCAATGTTCATTTCATCAAATCCAGATCTTATGTGACATAAGCACAAAAAAGAGACCCTGTCACCTTTGCCATATCCTATTGGTTAGAAGCACATAAGAGATATCCATACTCAAGAGGAGAAAGGGGAATGAATTACACGAGGGCTGAGTCCAAGGAGATGGTAATAATCAGGAGTTGTTTATTATTTTACAATCTGACCATGACAGAAGTATTTGGATAAAAACCCTAAGTAGATTGTTAGCTCTTTAAAAGCAACAAGGGTGAAAACTACATTCTTTCACACTTACTCATAGCATGTGTTCAATGATTTGTCAATAGTTCACATTTGTTGCTGAAGTATTCATGAAGACACTTGATAGGAATGTTAGGTAGACTGATAGTGCTTGATATGAATCTCTTACACATTCTGCCATTAAGATTTCTCAAACAAGAAAGTATAGGAACAATAGTTTAATATATGTCTAAGAAAAACAGCTAAGGGAGAAACAAATCTAGTGAGCGACTGAACGGAGACAGATTTGAGAATGGACATATATCATCTTCCCAACGAGTGAATGTGGTAATGTAGACATAGGTGCCTGGTCACTGAGTGTTAAATTTCCTCCCCCACCTTACTGTCACCAGAATTATTTCAGTGAACGTTGGTTTGCTTTCCTAACTTGCCAGCACACTGATAATCCAAAGTAAACAATATACATCTCTCTATTCCCCACTGCCTAGATGTCTAAACTTTCTATTTATGTGTCTGACTTGATTTCTTTTGCTTTCTGTTTAATGTCCCTGTGGACCACTGATCACTCGGGTTATAAACTGAAACCCTTCTGAGATTGTGCACCCCTACCCTGTTATTTTTATAAATAGAGAGAAAGGGATTTTATTTTTTCTCTGTGTGTGGCCCTCAAGAGATACAAATCCTGCTGATGATCCCACAGCTCAATCTCATCTTGTTATAAACATCATGGCTCCAGAACTGTAATCTGGTGTCTCTCTGCTAGCAGAAACAGTCTAAGCTCTTCTTTCCACATGAATGTTGGTAAGAAAGTAGAAAAAGGTATTTATTGTGTTGACTTTGAGCTTTGATTGTTACATATTCACAAATACTCATATGGACTTACAGAAAATTTGGATAATACTAGGGTTCTACCGGTACTCATAGAGGCATACAGCATGTAAGTATATATGACCTCATAATTCATAGTTAAATATTTTAGTGATTTTTCTCAGATGGAATTGAAAGCAAGGAGACAAGATTTAAAAGAAACTACCAAAAACTAACATAAATGGAATAGTAACATGTATATTTATCATAGGATATTTACTCATGAATTTAAACTTCACTTTTGCCACCTAGTATTTTTAAAGCTTAACGGTTAAATTCTAACATAGTATTAATGAATATTGCCATCATGGAATTTTAAATATTTCTAGAATTGATTTTAACAATATAAATGTATTAATTTAAAAATATTTTAGAATTTTTATTGAAAAGGGCTTTATGACACTTCTGTTTACTGATTCAACTGCCTTTATCATTCCCTGTCTTCTGAAATCCTTAACCATATCCTCAAGCCAGCATTCATCACCTCATACCTTTTGAACAGAAGTACATTTTCCCCTAATTCTTCAGAGAGCAAAAGGTCGACATGGTGTAATAATTTCCTCACAAATCTCACCACCGACCTATCCACTGGACACCTACTTCTGAGAGTCAGTGGAAGTTATGATCCTCATCTTTTTGAAGGCTAATTAATGTCATTCTCTACATTCAATCCCTTACTACTTCCTTGAGAACATTTACATGTCAGTTAATTCCTTTCAAAGAGAATATAAAGTAATATATTTTCACTCTCTCACTGTTTACCGTCTTTAATTGTAATTTAAAAATTTATTCACTTCCCTAAGTCTTTCTCATCTTGCAAAAAGTATCCATCCATGTTAAAGTATTCTTCAATCATGGCCTTTTTCTCTCCTTGTTTCACTGCCATGCTTCTAGAAATAAAATATACCCTACCTCAACTATTAAGTCTTCTAGTCATCCCCCAAGCCACTGTAGCACATTCACAGTTTTCAACTGCCATTTCCAGGGTCCTTAATGTGCTTTTATCTGCATTTGAATTTTTTAATCCTTACCAGACTTGACTGCTCAAGCAATTTCACCCAGTTGTTCATGTATTACCTAGTCCTGACAAGACCTGATCTCTTGGTTTTTGTGGTCCAATGAGACCATTTTCATTTTGTTTTAGTGTATGTAGTTCTTTTCAATCTTCTGTAAAGTTCTGGCTTCATTTTTTTTTCCTTGTAAATCTAGTCTCAGTGGTTATACACCCACAATATTGAATTAAAATGACACATACACAATATATACAATAATAACTTCCAAACTTATATTATACTGGCAGAAAACTGAAGCTCTGTGTCTGCAGATTCACATCCACATGGTCACTGCAGAAAAATAGATATTCTTAAGTGGATTTCTCTTATTCATTTTACAGCATATTCAAAATTGAATGTATTTATTATTTAGCAAAGTCTATATTCATAAAAATCTTATGGTCTGATAGGGTTTAGTGGTCTATAAATATTTTTTTTAATTATTAACATATGTAAAATCATATGGACATGAGTTCCTGGAATTTAAGTGTTAAAATACTTATATATTTGCTAACTATTCCTGATTATGAATGGTAGATGAATATTATGACTTAATTTATAGTTTTCTCAATGATGTTCAGCTTATTTATGACCTTGGGTAACCATCTGAACCAAAAAAAGTACCTAAATATTTTCAAATAACAAAGCAATTTATTACTTCTATAGGATATGAACACTGTGAGGACAAATGCTACAAAAGCAGGACAACGTGGAAATGTTAAGCAACTTGACATCAAAATACCTTCTTTTTGACCATCATTCCTGGTCTAGAGTCTGTCTATGCCTGGTTTTCTATCCCTTTCTGTTGTCTTTACGCCATTGCCCTCTCTGGGAACAACATGATCCTGCTTGTCATCATTACCCAGCAGAATCTCCATGAACCCATGTATTATTTCCTTTCCATGCTATCAGCCACTGATCTGGGTTTGACTGTGTCTGCAATGTCAACAACATTAGGTATCCTCTGGCTTGGTGCACGTGAAATCAGTCTAGATAGCTGCATTGTCCAGATGTTTTTTCTTCATGGATTTACTTTCATGGAGTCTGGAGTGCTAGTGGCATTTGAATTTTTAAATCCTTGCCAGACTTGACTGCTTAAGAATACGACCCAGTTATTCATGTAACGTTCAGTCCTGACACCATGATCTCTTAACTTTTGTGGTTCCCATAGACTATTTTGTTCTTGCTTTGGTGTATATAATATTTTCCAATCTTCTACAAAGTTTTTTCTTCATGGTTTTCTCTTTTAAATTTACTCTCTGAGTTTGGACAGACATACTATTGGATTAAAATTGCACATATATAATGAGAACTTCCAAATTTATATTACTGGCAGAAAAAATGAAGATCTGTGTCTGTAGTCTCACACCCACATGGTCACTGCAGAAATATTGATATTTGGAGTGACTTTCTCTTACTCAAGATATTCAAAATTGAATGTACTTTTAAAAAAACTAGGTCTTTATTCATGGAATCTTATGGGGTTTAAAGTTCTGTAAATATTTTAAAAATTCATAAAAATTTGAGAAATCATATGGTCATGTTTACCTTCAAGTTAAGGGTTAAAATGATCATATATAATTTGCTACATAACCTTGATTATGAATAGTAAATAAATATTATAATTTTATTTAGAATTTTCTCAAGGATGCAGAACTTATTCATGATTTGAATAACTATCCTAACAAAAAGAATATATATCTAAATGTTTTTTCATGGCAATGCAATTTATTTTTTCTATAGGATGTGAACATTGTGAAGACAAATACTACAAAACCAGGACATCATGGATATCCTAAGCAACGCGACATCCAAATTTCCAACCTTCTTTTTGACCATCATTCCTGGCCTAGAGCCTGTCTATGCCTGGCTCTCTATCCCTTTCTGTTGTCTTTACACCATTGCCCTCTCTGGGAACAGCATGATCCTGTTTGTCATCATTACCCAGCAGAATCTCCATGAACCCATGTATTATTTCCTCTCCATGCTATCAGCCACTGATCTGGGTTTAACTGTGTCTACAATGTCAACAACATTAGGTATCCTCTGGCTTGGTGCACGTGAAATCAGTCTAGATAGTTGCATTGTCCAGATGTTTTTTCTTCATGGATTCACTATCTTGGAATCTGGAGTGCTGGTGGCTATGGCCATTGACCGCTATGTGGCAATCTGCAATCCTCTGAGGTACACTACCATTCTCACTAATTCCAGAGTCATTCAGATGGGTCTCTTAATGATTATACGTGCTGTAGTATTAATAGTACCACTACTCTTGCTCCTTAAGCCTCTTTATTTCTGTAGAATAAATGTCCTTTCCCACGCATACTGTTACCATCCAGATGTGATTAAATTAGCGTGTTCAGACATTCGGGTCAATAGCATCTGTGGATTAATTGATCTCATCCTGACTACAGGAATAGATGCACCATGCATTGTCCTGTCTTATATCTTAATTATCCACTCTATCCTTGGTATTGCCTCTCCTGAAGAACAATACAAGGTCTTCAGTACCTGTGTCTCCCACATTGGAGCAGTTGCTATTTTCTACATCCCCATGCTGAGCCTGTCCTTGGTACATCGCTATGGTCGGTCAGCCCCCAAAGTGGTCCACTCAGTGATGGCCAATATATACCTGCTTTTGCCCCCTGTGCTCAACCCCATTATCTATAGTGTTAAAACAAAACAGATTCGCAAGGCTGTACTCAATCTGCTCCTTACGAAATAAACACAGATTATTAAGTTTGAGAAAAGCCTAGTATAAGTGACTTGCATAGTAGAAAAACAAACTTGATTGTCTACTCCCTACTAAACATGTTTTTTCATATTTTTCATTTATGCAAAAATTATTCAGTATGTATTTTGGTATTTTCAATCATAAAATTTAATCACTATGCTTCATCTCAGGACTTTATGATTTAATAAAAAAGTAGGAAAATAATGATAGTAACAAAATAATAAAAATAATGCCCCTAGAACCTAACATTTATTGACTTTGTTTCATACTAGATGTTTTAGTAGCTTCTTTGAAAACATATTCTATTTATTCATCCCTACATCCTAATGACATACATAATGCTATTAATTACAGTTTGCAGATTAAATGAACAGGTGTAGGGATATTTAGACCACCAAAGGACCCATGACTACATGGGGCAGGGTTGATATTTGAACCAGGCAATCTGTATTTCAGATGCCATGTTCTTCACCACTGCATTGCAAACTCTATCAAAAATGTACTTGGGAATTCATAAAGTAAAAGCAAAATCTTGTAGTATTGTATCTGTCTAAATTTGTATTGTGTGGTCTATAAAATGTCTAAGATACTACATATTAATAAATATCTCACTACATATAATTCAAGAAAAGGCATACATGAGTGCTTGTCTTAGTATGTAGTGTGGGCTTGAAGTAAATTTACTAATTTGGCATTTGGATAAACATCAATACCTCAAGCGGGCACTATTGAAAAGATACCCATAGGAGATCATTGAATAACTGAATAGCTCATCCCAAGGATAACTGGTAGGTGTAAAAGAGAGTGTCAAAAGGGAAAAGAAAATCTGTGGATAAATGAAGGCAAGAATGTGATATATCTTTGTCCTATACTCCATCTGAGGACCGTTTAACCTTCTGGTTAATCAACTGCCCAAATGTAAAGCTTGTCAATTAACAATTTAAACAAATGATGGTATATGATTGGCAAATTTCCTCCTTTTACTCCACTACCAAAGTGGGAAAAGAATCCCTTGATATATGTCAAAAACAAAGTGTTTTCCTCAAAAACAAAAACTAGGCATACTGTTGGAATAATCTTATTAGTACAAATAAAATTAAAACGTAATAGGACAATGGCAATCTCTCTCTCAGTGTTTATATTCTGTTCCTGAAAGATTTAAGGGTGTCTCCAACTTTGATTGATATTCCTACAAAAGGTCAAGCAGAAGCCAGGGTGGAGCCCAAGGTAAATTTGTGGAGTAGTACAAATTTATATATTTCAATATGATATTTATAATGAAATTATGGAATAATGCTTAAATATCATAAGCTGATTTTTTTACTATTGACAGCAAGTAAAAAAGCCAGTGTGCAAACCTATGCTCCTTGTTCACTATACTTTTCTGAGTCCTAATACTATGATTTACATATCGTCATTTTTTTCATAGAAAATTACACCAGCCCCTAGTTGTCCTTTCTGCCTTTATCTCTCTTCAGTTGATCCATTGGGTATACTGTCATTCTAACAATTTTTGAAGGAACAATGAATCAACGTTTTTCCTCAGAAGGATGGATCCTGTTAAGATTTCTCAGTCTTGAAATAAAATTTTTATCTACTTCATTAGCCAGATTTCCCACAAGACTTGCTTCCTTGCCATTCTTTATAAACACCACATTAACGTCAAGTTGATTCATGTCATTTTGATCCTTTCTTTTTTTTTTTTTTTTTGAGTCGAGTTCTTACTCTGTCACCCAGGCTGAAGTACAGTGGCACAATCATGACTCACTACAGTCTCAACCTCTGGGCTCAGGCAATCTTTCCACTTCAGCTTCCTAAGTAGCTAAGACTACAGGCACACACCACCATACCCAGGTTATTTGGGGGGAGTTGTTTTGTTTTTTAGAGACAAAGTCTCTCTATGTTGTCTAGGCTGGTCTCAAACTTCTGGGCTCAAGTAATCCTACTGCCTCAGCTTCCCAAAGTGCTGGGATTACAGACATGAGCTACTTCACCTGCCCATACTTCACATTCTAAAATACCACATTCCTTGCTATTTGGATTTTAGTTTATATTATAATCATAATTCCACATATGGTATAAAGCACTATTTGACTATGCCAACTCTAATTTATATAGCAAAGAGATAGGACAAGTAAGAATGCTAATATTGAGAGATTTTTACATTGAGATACCTGACTATCCTCTTCTCTACAATTTTAAAACCCATAATGTCTACAGTTTATTTTCTACCTGTTAATAAAAGCATTGACTTGAACTATGTGTTCTTTCAATATGGATTTTATCATCTCTACTGGAGCTCTGCTTTAATGTTACATCCAGAAGATTTAGTACACAATTGGGTACACATTGTCAAAGGTAGTTTGGGGAATGCTGAAGAAACCAAAGAAAGCAAGAGTAAAGTTGAGATTTAAATTGAGAATGAATCGAGTGTTATTCAGATGTAAACGTTGAAGCTATTTAAAAAACACAGAAAACAAAGACCTTACTCAGTTGGAGCTCAACAGTATATCAAATAAAAGAAAATAGAGGACAAAAGGCAATGAGATTATACAACATGGGCCTCCACTTCCTACCCTTAATTATCCTGTTCAGCTTCCTTGGTGACCAACATTATCAAGAGTTTCTGTGGATTTCTTGGGATGACCTAGGACTTGAAACTAAAATAGAATTTAAATTAACTATTGACTATTCCTATGATTGGTATATTAATTTTAGTGGAATCATTTATGTGACTTGTGATGGCTAATTTAATGTCAACTCAGCTGTACAACAATAGCCAGATATTTGGTTAAACATCAATCAAGATTTTTTGGTAAAATTAAGGTTTAGATTATCTAACATTTAAATCAGTAGACTTTAGGTAAAGCAGCTTACCCCATAATGTGAGTAGGCTTCATTTAATCAGTTGAAGGCCTTAAAAGTAATCCCTTGAGAGAGAAGGAATTCTGCCTCCAGATTGCCTTTTGGACTCAAAAGGTGACATCACCTCTTCAGTGGATCTCCAGCCTGCCACCATATTCAGATGAGTCAATTCCTTAAAATTAGCATCTCTTTCTCTCTCTCAACATACAAATAAAGTGGATGCATTTTATTATATGCAAACTACCACTAATGAAACTGATGTAACATAAATGCTTACTTTTAACTTACAACTAATATAAACTAAGCAGACCTAACAGAAGAAACTGTTAATATATCAAGGGCAATGTAAATATTAGTTATTTTATGCCATAAAAATAGCCAAGTCATTTTTCTGGAAATAGTTTCCATTTTATTGCATATGCTGCCAAAACGTCCATCTTGTGTTGAAACCACCATGCCCATGAAGGCTCTTTGACTTTGTAGGCTGCTTTACTACTTTCCTCTGAAAGGACTCTAATAAACATTAGTTCTATACTTGCGATCTTCCAGGGTAGTATGGATATAGCTGATACTCTACATAGTTAAACATAAAAGTCCATTTAGTAATATAATGCAAAAATTGCAAGACAGAAGAAGAGCCAAGTAGAATATTTATTTGATCCTCATGTTGAAAATGCTTGTTGCAAGAACAAGGAGTAATGTAGTTTTTAAACAGTTATATGTGTTCATGCATATGCACACACACACACAAAAAAAAAACACATACAGAGAATTGTTGCAGCAAAAATTGTGGAGTTTTTTGTTATTATTTTATTTTCACTTTTTAAAGAATTGCCAGAGAATGGCTGACCTACCTGCGTTGCACATTGGGTAAAGAATGGCACATGTGTGTGTGTTTAATCCCCAAGGCACGTGCATGCTCACATGGTTAAATGACTATTTTATTGAAGTTCTTTATTGAAATTAATCATTCATGGCCACTGCCTTGCTAAGTTGTGGTTTGGACATGTGCTCTTTGAGCTATGGTCAGGCCATGTTTTCTTAAGCTTTGGCTCCCTCCCCTACCTTGGGGAAGTGAATCTCCTCTTTCTCTCTCTCTCCAACTTACTTTCTAAATAAACTATATTTTTTAATCTAAAAAAATTAATAATTCATAAATGTAACAGAGCTCTGTATAAGTATCTATATCTGTCCTTTAGGGAAAAGTGTTCCTACTGATATAAAATCTAACTTGAAATCAGGGGTATCCAAATAGGAAACAAGGAAGTCAAGTTATCCCTCTTTGTTGATGATATGATCCTATACGTTGAAAATCCAAGATAATCTGTCAAAAACCTGCTTGCACTGATAATGGACTTTGGCAAAGTCTCAGCGTACAAATTAAATGTGCAAAAGACAGTTGCATTCCTATATTCTAACAACAAGCAGGTAGAGACCCAAATAAAAAGCAAAATCCCATTCACAATAGCTACCCGAAACAATGAAATACCTCAGTATCTTCCTAACTAGAGAAGTGAAAGTCCTTTACAATGAGAACTTCAAAACACTGCTCAAAGAAATTCGAGAAGACAAAAGCAAATGGAAAAATATTCCATGCTCATGGATAGGGAGAATCAACATTGTTAAAATGTCCATCCTAGCAAAGGCAATCTACAGATTTAATGCAATACCCATTAAATTACCAATATCGTTCTTCTCAGACCTGGAAATAACAGTACAGAAATTCATATGGAAATATAAATGATCGTGAATAACCAAAACAATCCTTAGCGACAGAAACAAAGCAGGAGATATCACACTTCCAGACTTCAAACTTTGCTGTAAAAAGCTAAAGTAATCAAAACAGCCTGGTACTGGTACAAGAACAGGCATATAATATAGACCAATGGAATAGGATAAAAATTCTGGAAGCAAAGCCTCAATTTCCGAACTAACTCATCTTTGACAAAGCTTCCAACAACAACCCCTGGGGAGAGGCAAACCTATTCAGTAAATGGTGCTGGGAAAACTGACTGATCACATGCAGAAGATTGAAGCAGGATCCCTACCTGTCACTATACACAAAAATTCACTCTAAGTGGATCCAAGACCTAAACATAAAACCTCAAACTATAAGAATCTTAGAA